TTTCCCTTTGTTCTCTAATAGGAAAGATCCAGAGATGAATCCACTCCCTGTGAGCCTCTGGTTAGATCCCTGGAAAGACTCCAGGAGGAGTTTACTGGTGAGGACTCGGCTTACTGAGGGCTTTCTGTGTTCTTTAGTGCACGTATTTTACATTTCCTGCCAATAAATGAGGCTGTGTCTTTTCAGTGCCGTCCATAAATACAACCCTGTCTCGTCTTGAGATCATGGCCAAACAACAAGGGTAAACATTTGACTTTTACTTATAATTATTGTGACAGTTATGCAGTTCAAATTGAATTTTCCCATATATATATATATATACACATTAAACTATTTAAGTCTAAGCTCACCTACAGACATAATAAGGTGTTTTGCATTTAGGTATTTGTTATATTTGTTTTCTATTTTTTTTATATGCTTTGTATTTTTACAACATTCTCTAAATCTCCTAATAAATTCCATAATATTTTCCTTTATACCTGGCACATTCCCAGATAACATTAAATGTTTTCAACCTTTCTCTGTCTCTAGGCCAACTCAGCTAATTCCCTTCTGGCCCGTGTGTACTTAGTCAAAGTTTAAAACCTATTAAAGTTTGAAGTCCTCAAAATGAGCCATCATCTGTGTTGTATACATCGTCTGTGGTTTTGCTTCTCATCCTGTTTGTTGACTTTTCATTTGACTCCAGAATTGGCTTCCATGTCACTGAGTCCACATGCTACCTCACTGCTGACCTGTTTTACCTGGAGGTGGTGTTAGAGGCTTGTGGTGGAGTGAAGGAGGTAAAGTTGGCCCCACAAGGAGCCCCCCCCACTGTAAGTCCTGCCTCCCACAAACCATTTAACAACATTCCTGTGTTTATCCGCAAGCTTTTAAAATGAAATTGTTTTGCAGATCAGTGAGCCACTCCTGCAGCTACTGAGGTAAAGACAAAAAGATGTGTATCATTCAGATTTTTTCGTTTTTTTTTTTTTTAACGTAGAATGATGGACATGGAGCTGTTTTTATTTTCACACGCAGGTTCAAAAACTTTGCTGGTTTCTCCAGGAAATTAGCAGGCCTCTGTGCCCAGTACAACATCCCTGGAGACAAGTAAACACACGGCCCAAACATTATTTTCTTCAACAATGTTGACCTTCCTGTAACCGCCATTAATATTTCTACCTCCCCTCAGTGACATTAAGTTAAAACTCTTAAAATCTCTACAATACCTGAGGAAGGACTTGGAGCAAATTTCACATCTGTCAAGGTGAGAAGTCAAAGAGTGTTAATAAAAATGACTAAAATAACAATAACAGTTGCTTAAAATGTATTCAAATTTTAGTGTAATCTCTTATGATAAGTTGCTTTATTTGTTGTCATGTAATTGTAACTGAAAAAAACAAAACAAATCTTGCTGTAATTTAAAAAAGACAGGGGAGCTGTAAAAAGATTCTAAGTTGTTTTTTGTTTTTTTTAGGCCACCAACAGACTGTGAACCAACAAAAGACCTGATTAACAAGGGGAGAGTTGGCCTCGTGATAGCTGGAAAAGAAGGTAAAAGTTCAAAAACATCAGGTATTTATGTTTTTTTTATTATAAATTTAAAATATTTAAAGTAAAAAAAGTCCTATTTTCTTGTAGATCGCCCTCTGACCATTCAGTTCTTCATCACATCACCTGACGATGATGCCAGTGAGTCCTTTCTGAAGAAGCAACCTTTGAGTTTTGTCAAATGTCTGAAATCCATTCATTCAAGCTTTTTAACGCTCCAAAACCGCCTGCGTGTTTGAAGAAACACATGACGAGAAGCCGGTGATCCAGGAAGCCCAGGTGACCGTGTGGGCCAGCGCCGTGTGCCACCAGCTACAGATGTCGTCTGTCATCCCTCAGCCTCCACAGCTGGATCCTCAGGGGTGACATGTTTCTGTTTGATCCCTCACTCCTCTGGGTTTACTCTCACTTTTCTCACCCAGCAGTGAATGTGAATGTCAATGGCTGTTGGTGTTCATGTTTGTGTCCTGTGGCAGTTCTCCAGTGTCCCTGCCACTGGACCAGGTGCAACACGAGGCGCTGCCGGCATGTTTCCTCCTCAGACTGCAGCCTCCTGTTGTGATGAAGGCGTCCTTTGTGAAGAAACTGAGTCTGATCACAGGTTTGGAGACATTGAACCAGAAATACAGCCGTCAGTGTGTCTGATAAAATATAAGGCATCATTCTATCATGTACTCTTTTCTGTCGTAGATGTATCAGTACCCGAAGATGACCTGCAGTGGGCGCCATTACCCAGTCTTCTAGCGAGAGGGTCATTGAGTGAAGATGGCCACAAGGAGACTTTAGAGCGGGACATAGTTTGCACCGTGGTGTGTTGTTTTATGTTTCCACTCATCTGTGTTAGAATAAATATAAACAATTCATGTGAAAGATAAATATCTAAAATTTAAAAAAAGTTAAAGATAAGATTGGTCAAAATTATTAAATGTTTAATAACAAGCAAAAAAAAGTTCATTATTCAATTTGCTTCACTTGCAAATGCTTATTAAAATAAGAACTAAAACTTGGTAAATAGCAAAAAGTTACTTAAGTTTCAGAAAATATATAGCACATTAATAAAACTGGATAAATTATATGTATTACCACCAAATAATTGTAAGATTTGAATATAATGCATTTGAAGAAATTAATTAAGTTTTACAATATGTTCTCCTCCTCCCCAGTCATTTCCTGGTGACCTGAGACACCGTTACGTTCTCCCTGGAGCTGCCTGGGATTCACCTGCACAGACGGCAGCAGCGGTGGACGGCGTTCCCTTCACACACCCTGCCCACATCCCTGCTCTGCTGGAGCTGCTGCGCCATCAGTGTGTCATTAACACCCTGCTGAGGAGCTGCATCAGCTCCAACAGAACCGCTGCAGGTACCAGCACTCTGACATGGCCAGAAACACAGCCTCACTCCAGGAAACCATATTTATTTATGTAAGTCTTTGTTAATGAATCTTATCGCGTGGTGCAGTTGGTGACCTGCACTTTGAGGTCCTGCCAGAGTCGGACACCAGCTTCTCCGTGACCTTCAACCCTCCTGAGGCTGATTCTCTGGCTGTTTGTGAGTATTTACCAAAGTGACCTTTCATTGTCAGATTTTGCTATTTTTGACCTTCTAATATTATTGCATCTTTTTTCTGTATCTGATATTCATCTGTACTCTATATTTACGGCCGTATGAGATAAACATCTGTCTGCAGTGACTCAGTGCACTTGTGTCCACAGTGCTGGTCCATGTCTCAGGTTCTCATCAGATCTCCTGCAGCTTGTTTGGAGCAGGTACAGGAGACGTGAACTTGGATCAGTACGTCACCACGATCCTGACAGAGTACGTAACACCAGTCTGTCCACAGTGGTCAGGTCAGAACGTTAGGTTTTAAATCAATGGATTAAAGTGCAGTTAAAACAGTTTTAAATAAAAATTAAAACAAGGCTGTACAAATTTACAGAACAGAACACAAACAACCTGAAGCTGACTACAAGAAGTTTTGCCAGATTTTACCCACAATTCCCAGTCTCGCCTGTCTGCACTAGTCGGAGACAGTCGACATGGCTGGTTGGTTGGCACAAAAAAAAAATCTGAGTGTGTGAGGGATAAAGCCACAAATCTCCAAGTGTGTGACGTAGACAGACCGGTCCAGACCTCAGTCCCAGCTAGTCCAGCATATTTGGACACAGTCAGGCAGCATGATCCAGTTACTGACGAATCATGTCGTCTGTGATTCCTCATCAGGTCCAGTGTTTGTTCACAGTCTTGAACCACTCTGTCTGTGTGGACACAGTGTAGAATCTGTAAAGACTGTGAAAGTTGTGCAGCGTGTCTGCAGCTCAAGACGCCAGTTTGAACGTTGAATGGTGGAAATTAAGCTCCGAGGATTAATTCTTTTTTCAACACTTGGAAACTGCACGATTAAGGAGGTTTTCAAGGCTGCAGACTATTACATAACATACGTACGTTTTAACATAAATCTGTGGCTATTGTTCACCTTTTTTTTAAAAGATCCATAGTTTACCTACTGCAACTCAACTCTGTTAATCCTTAATCTGATTAATCAGATAAAAAAAGTTCTGGGTAGCTTTAGATTAGTCACGATTAATCATAATTAATTGAGTCGACGTTCCCGCTGTACATTGCTCGGCCAGAGAGACAACATGAAGGTTTTTATTTATGACTAATCCAAATAATGGAATAAGAATGAGTGCATTGTGCTGACTTTGACTTGTGATGTTTAGAACAAAGTTACATTTAATCTGAGCTAAAGACGCACCGACTTTGTAGCTGTTGTTGAACTGGACGATACCATGGCTAACGTACTGTTGGACCTGTGGAGTAATCTGACATTTCTTTTTTTATCACCAAAGTTTCCAGTGTAGATTACTGGGTCTAAAATAGTCAAACTAACAATGAAAAAGGAATTAAACTTGCAACTTCCTGCCTCTTTTGTCTGCCTTGATCTGTCCTCTCTGATGTGTTTGTTTCTGACTCAGGAACTTGTCCATCCCTGTGACCTTGAGGACATTATACACCAGGCTCAGGGAGCTCACTGCCGCCCCACTCTCTCTAAGCCACTCTGCCAACACTCAGTCTGAAAACCAGCCCCCGGCTCCCTCCACCCCCCCTGTGATGGACACCAACAGCTCCACAGTGCCTTTACCCCAGACTGCAGCTGTGACGGACGACAGCTCCGCCGTTGGTGGCTCGGCCTGCTTCACCATGTCTGTCGCCAGCGCTGAGCTTCTGCCTGAAAATAAAACCAGTCCTGTGAGTGTGTGTGTGATGGTCAACTCTGAGCTGACCTAACACCTGACACCTTATTGTGATGCCAGTGTATTGTGTTCATGTGTGTTAATTTTAGATTTAAATAAATGCTGTTTACTTCAAAAAAAAAAAAAAAAAAAAAGCTTATCACAGTGTCTGGAAAAGCAGTCGTCTGTGAATTATGAAGATGCTGAGTAACCAACCGGGTTTGGTTTCTTTTCTTACTATGCATTCCAGAGTAGCAGGGATGGCTGCCTGAAAGGGTTTGGGGTTTGGCTTTTGACCTCTCTCTCAGAACGCCAAGATCACAGTTAGCTTGTGGCCTTGTGAGTTAATCAGAGATTGTAAACAGAGCTTTTTATAGTGAAGATAAAAACAAAAAATCATCACATTTACAGAGAACAAAACTACGTTTGAAGATATTACAAAAACTCTGACACACCTTTCTCTTCTTACTGGATCTACTCTTGGAGAAAAACCTAAACTGGTTTGAAGCCTGGGTTTCTTAAATCTACAACAAGGTTCTTGCCATAAACCAACCTTTCAGTTGAGGCTCCTTCACCAAATTATCGCCTCCTCAACGGTCTTTAAACCAAATTCAGCAACAGGGCTGAGGAGACCCAGTCATCCATTTGTGGTCTATGTCTCACTCTTGGGTCCAGGACGACAGTTGAGTGTGATGTAGCTATACATCACGCTCCCTGTTCGCTACACCTGATTGGCATGAAGAATCATTCAACAGTTACTTCATCGCCTCAATTTTCAGACTCTGAGGATTGGAAATGTTCCCAGACTCGGGGTTTCTGACCCCTACACTTGGCTTCAAGACCACCACTGTTTAGAAAGTCCTTTTATTGAATGTTACCAACAGATCGTCTGCAAAGAGGAAGATATTTTCCTAACCCCAAAGCTAACAGCCTGTGCTTCTTACTACCTGTATCTAAACATTCTGTCTACAAAGAGGACATAAACAGGCAGCTGCGGAGTCCAAACCTTGTTGCCAACAGTTTTTACATGGACTGGTTGTCATCCAGCCAAGTTTTCTCTTAATAATGTGTGTCGGCCACATTTACCAGAACCTCAAATTATTCTTCCCACTCCTCGGTGCAGGTCAACAGAGTTTCCTTCCGCTTCATAAACTTTTTTCACAATAATGAGATGACATTTGCCGTGAAGGGACCTGAATACCTCTGTGAAATGGAAACTCTGCAATTACAAATCTTCTGGACACCCCTCTGCACACTTTTGCTTTTCCTGGGCTGCTGCCAAGGTGGCGACCAATATAGCGCAAATACCAGCGGAGTGTATATCATTAAATCTTTGCCGTTTAATTCAGACGAGCCAGAGTTTGCCGTCATCACGCCATAAAGTCATAATTTAAATATAACTTTCCATATGTCTGTGTGAACCTGCTGCAACAGGACTGTATTTTAGAATATTAACTGTCAACAGCTGACAACTGCTTTTGTCCAGCGTTTGGTCATAGATATCCAATTACCTATTTAAGGGCTTATTATAGAGAAATAGTCCGACAAGTGTGGTCCGACTGGACTGTATGGTCCCAGCCCACTTTATTAGTTTTCTTCTACAAGAGCCACTTAGCAACTAAGTGATTCTTTAAGAGCAGATGTTAACTTTCACCTTTTTCACGTACATTGGTTCATTACATCACTTGTTTTTGTTCCATAATTATTACAGAGATTAATTAAATGAGCTGCAATGCTGCCATCTAGTGCCTTTCACTTTATTATACAGCCGTTTATCCCCAAAACTATTTTTAGGGCGCACGTCATTTGGCAAAACCCAGGCACTGCATTATCAGGTTTTCATTATCGGAGGAAAAACTGATAACAATTCTTACAGATGATACATAATATGCCAATATTCAGCCGATAAACTGGTCGGCAGACATCCCTAGTTTAAAGGTAATGACTAGGCCTAGAATTTTAGTGCCTAAATTTGGAAAAATGAAAAACCAGGGTTATCAATATTAAGTTGTTTAAATGTCAATTTGTGAATATAATAAGTTTTAAATGCTGTAATTTACACACAGTGTTGGGAAACCTTTTAAAAAATTGTTTATTATTTTGCTGCCATGGTGCTATGACCAATCTTTGTCTTTCAAACAGTCAAGTCAGTGTCTCCCTCATGTTGACATGCAGGCTAACTCCATAATACACAAGTCAGAAAGTTAGAACTTTTTCATTTCAGCGAGGATTTGTAGGAAACGAACTCCCGAATCCTTTGCTCAGTCATAATTATGGATGGAGTTTCTTTTTGTTCAGGCTTTGGCCAGTTCTAACAGGAATAGGTTTCCAAACCTGGCTGTTATGCGCTCTCCCTCCCTCCCTCCCTCCCTGCTCTCGCTTTCTCTCTCCCTCTCTCTCTGGTTTTAGCGTGAGCAGAGCTGAGCTGCTGTGTTGTCTCTGTCTTATCTTTTTTTAAACCCTCCACATCTTCCCTCCCTCTCTGGCCTGCGGTCTCTTTAAATCCAGCTCAGTGAAGTTGAAGCGGTGCGTCCTCTCCTCTCCTCTCCTCTCCTCTCCTCTCCTCCTTCTCCTCTCTCTCCCCTCCTCTGCCCTCAGTCTTGTCTGGACGCAGTGATTGCCCGCTCTCCGCCTGATAAACAGCTGCTTATCTTCTCCAGAACTTCATAAACTTCTGTCTTTTCTTCCCTCCCCTCCACTCCTTCAAACTTCCAGGACCGGGACTTTTCTCTTTTTTTTTCTTTCTTCCAGTTAGCGCCGTGTCTGCCTGTGGAGCTGCAGACCGTAGGAGGCTTTGCGCCGCTGGAGTCTCCAGTCTGGACCCCGGGGTTTGCGTAATGCTGAGGCGTCCTCTCCTCAACATCTGGATTAACTATTTGGAGTCAGAGCTAACGGGGCGACACCAAACTCCGGCTTTTTGCCCCTGTCTTCATGGAAGTGCTCACTTTTGCCCCTGGATTTAACCCATTTTGACCAGCCGCGTTTTTGTGCATAGATTATGTATCCTTTAAAATGGGTGCGAACAATGGAAAACAATATGGAAGCGAGGGTAAGTGATGCCTCTACTGTTCCCCCTTTAAACTCCTCTTCTGCTTTGATTTTTTCTTTCTTTCTTTTTGCTCAACAAGTAGGGTTAAAAAGAACACGATTTAAATGTTCCGGTTTTGTCACTTTTGGAACCAGCTTCAAACTGAACACTTTCTCCCCCATCCTTTCATATCTTCAGTTCTTATCTCGTTGTTCTTGAATTGTAGGAGTGCAGTTCACACTGAACTCCGTTCAAATATCCACCGTTTTTGAACGGTTTGTGTGAATCTAAAAATAACCACCTCGGAAGGCTAATTGCACACCTAAAAATACCTTATAAAGACTCGTATTCGACCTGTGAGTTGCCAGAGTGACCCCTGCTGGTCAGTTCTGTAAATCATTCTATATACATTGAAGCGTAAAACCGCATTCACCATGTGAAAAGTTCAAGAACATCCACAGTTTCTGCTGACTTTACATTGAAAATACTTTACATTTGACTTACGGTTTTATTGAATTCCCCGGTTTATCGTCGTTTTTTATCGGGGTTCAGCTTCCACTAAATCCTATTAAAAAACACACTTTTAGTGAAGAATATGTTAAAATATTAATAACTAAATTCAGACTTAGTTTAAAAGCAGATGTGAAATAGGTTTTTTTTTTTACTACATCAAATACCTCTAAACGTCATAATTATTCAGTAACAGCTGCAGAGCGACAGGTTCACTGGACTACACCCTGTGGCTAATCCTAAAATGTGTTGTATTCAAAGTAAGAGCGTCTTCCTGCAGGAGTTTAAGGAGGTCGGTCAAAGGACACGGCTCTTTTTTTTCATACGTAAACACTTAAGTCCACCTTATCTGGACAAGAGCTAATTCCACAGATTTTTCTCCACAACCCCTTTATCCTGCCATTGTGTTGTATGGGAGCCATTTTGGTGCACGTTCACAAACACTTCAGTGTGACCGAAGTGAGGTCTTAAACCGTACGTATCAGCCAGATGTGCAGGGTCGCTGCAACAACAGCATGTCCTCACGTCTCCTCAGACGCCGTCTCTCAGATTGCGTGTAAAGGTTGTTGGGTTCTTCATCTCTGACAGTGACCTCTTCACCCAACAAGTATTTGTAATGTTCTGTAGCTCTTCTGTCATTGGACAAAGGCAAAAAGTCAAAAAGAAAGACAAAGTAGTTTTTTTGTTTATTGTTTTTTTAAGTTATTGCTTCAAATAATCAGATTAGTACTAATAGTAGTAGTAGTAGTAAAGTACTGCTTCTCAAGGACTTCCATCCCAAAAATACTGAATAAAGAAACTGATCTGGCTGTGATAATGAATAAGGAAATTAAATATGCTAATTATGCTAATGTGGTTATTATTGTAATGTATTGGGTTTTTTTTTTTACTCCTTCGCAGGTTAAAGAAATTCTAAATATAGCTGCACACAATTAATATTTTACATAGTCGGCGTGTTCAAAGGGTGGGTTAGGGGCTGATTTCTAAAGCCTAAAGCAACTAACTTAGAACTTCTGTTTTTGTCGATCTTTGGGCCCATTTCTAGCAAATGTGTGCAAACTGCTTTGGCTAACATCGGACTTTCAATTTCTTCAGTCAGACTTGACTTTGGTTTCTGGATTTTTTTTTTCTTTGGCTGCTTGACTGATGCATAAAAAGTCGACTGTGGTTTGGATTATTGATTATATAACAATCTAAAGTATAGCAGGAAAAGCAGTTAAACCCTGGGGCTAATTTTTCATTATAAATACGCCCCCTCTTCCCAGCCATTGAGATTTTCCTGGATTATGTTGACTTTAACGACTGACAATATTAGATTTTTAGTCCTAACCAGTGTTAGTGTTGCACAAACCTAAAAATTTTCTGGAAAATGACCCTGAAATCCAAATCCAGTCCTAACTTTAAGATGAGATCTCCAACATGTCATATCAAGAGAAGAAAAATGGCGGAGCAGCTCCATCAGGCCCATCATTTTTGTGTCTGCTGCAGAAATGTTTGTATAAATAACATTCCTGCGTGCTCTCTTCCTAAGTCAACAAGTTTGGAGAAAAGCTTGGAGCTCATGATGTGAAGAATAACACGCAGCTCCACCAAAGACTCCAGCCATCGATGGTGCACGCTGTAAAAACGGCACTTTTTTTAGCCATTAAAGTTTGGACGTGAAAACGTATCTTGACTGTCGTGAGATTCACCGTCACCGTCGTAGGTCGTAGCTACAGAACGGTCGTCTTTGACAGCGGATGGAGAACGCCTCCCACTGCAGGGCAAACCCAGTAATAGCTCTGATTGAACGTAGGAGTGTGAACACAGTTGTTTCTCGTCTGGTTGTTGTTGTTGTTGTTGTTGTTGTTTTGACACTGCCAGATGTTCGGAGGATGATGTCAAACCACTAAATGAAAAACATATTCTTCAGCATTCGCCTGATGAGTTTCAGGTTCAGAACACTCAACTCTAATCTGTGGTTTGCACCAGGAAGTCCACAAACTTTTCTTTCGGAGTCACAAAGAAAATGCAGAGATTTATAACACATTTCCGTTGTTCCGAAAGTTCAAACCGGTTTTAGATTAAAGGACACGATTTGGGATGCGAGCTGTGATGGTTATGTGGAAGTGTCAGAAGACCATCTAACCCAGGGGTGTCAAACTCATCCTGGCCAACCCTAACCCTTCCTGCAAATACGCACCAGTATATTAGAAAATATTCTTCTTTAATGAAATATAAGTTGACAAAACATCTCCAACAAGAAGTGCATTTTTTCACTTTCAAAATTCATCAAGCGGGCCGGATTGAACCCCCTACTGGTCCAATTTTGGCCTGCGGGCCGTATGTTTGACACCCCGATCTAACCATATGGGGTGTGCGTTCTTTGGTCTCTTTAGTCTCGAAGCCACTTCAGGAACCCAGAACTGACCAGTAATAATGAATCAGAGATGCTAGTATTTTTCGGCCATTTTTGAATGAACACATACTCGGTTTAGTACGGAGTAACGACTGATTCCTCCAACTGGCAGTGCATTCAATGAGGTGTTTTGATCAGAGCCGACCACAATCATTTCCTCCGTACAATTCTAAACACGCAAACAAACATGAAAAACAAAACCACAGTCCATTATTCCACCAGCCTCCTTCAGAGAAAAGCCAAAGTGTCTACCGTCTCATTGACAACTGCTGGATCCTGTCGTCCTTTGGTTCACATCTGTTTCAAAGCTCCATCCCACAATTAATTACACACTGGTCACAACTATGCAGCAGCCCTCCATTATGTAAGCACAAGACAGGAAGCAGGAGCTTTTTGGAAAGTTGTCCGTCTTTTTCCCCCCTCCCGGTCGACGGTTTTCGTGCATCAACCAAACAAGGACCGACATCTCGCAACCTGTAAAATATTAGCTGGGATTTGCTCATCTTGACCCGGCCTTCGTTTCCTGCTCGGCTCAGATATTAGAAAAGTGCTCTCACATTGACATCTGCAAATCCCTCACGAAGATCTCCGAGTCATTTCCAGGAGCAACAGCAGATGGGCCGGCGCAGTGATGTCATCACCACATGCCATTCATACTTAAACCATATGAGCTGTCCGGGCTTTATACTATTTTATATTCTGTAAACACATGTGCCGAGGGAGGAGTCGAGGGTGGGGGGCGCGGGGGGTCAGGGGGTTAGGGTGAGTAAAAGGACAGAGGTCGCATCTTTGTAGAAATAACTGATACGAGGACCCTGATGCTGACCTCTTACGAATTCTTTCCGTCCTGTTCCTGAAAATGATGTACGATTACGCACTTGTTAGCTGGGGGCATAGTGAGATGGCACAATAGTGCCCCCTAATGCGAGCTCAGAGACACTGATTGACCTGGGCTTTCTAATTTGGAAGTGTTTCATGTGGGTATAAGTATGTGTCCGTATAAACAACAAAAAGTTACTCAAAATGGCAAAGTAGTGCCCCCTGGAGTCAGCTCTAGAACATGGTTTTGGTTTTTGTTGCATGATGTCAAATTTTGTACTCACTACTGAAACCTGTCTTTGATTCGCCACCTTTTGACATCTTGCCACAGCGCCGCATAGTGGACATAATGCATTATGAACTACACTGGCACCTCTTCAATTTTTTAATGCTTTCTGGACTCTGTCATCTTTGACCCCAAACTCTACAACATCCACAGCTCTGTCCTCAGTTCTCAGACAGCACTGGGCTCACGGCGGCATCAATCTCCCTGCTCTGGCGGCGTCACTGCTGCCTGCAGCCCTACTTTTGTTCTTCCCTGCACATAAGCTATCATTTAGCTCTCCTGCTCATTTTGTGGAACTGTCTTGTCTGTGTAAGTGGCCGCCGCTGATGTGCATGCGGGTGTGACGGTCTGAGAATACCTCTCCAGCCTGACATGCTGGGTGAAAGGCACATACTTAGTCTCAGGAAAGCCACAAAGCTGCATTTATGAACTGACAGAGGAATGAAGTGCCATAAACAACCTCTCCACAGGCGGAACACAAGTCACCGGCAGCACAGGCAGACACACAAAGACACGGCGCTGTCGAAACTCCGCTCTCTCCCCCCTGTCGAAATCCCCAATCCAATAATTCAGCCACAGTTAAGAGTCGCACATTTGATCACGTGGATGTTTTTTTTTTTTTTTTAAACCCACTTACAGGAGTGTTTCCTCGCTCTTCCTCTTGGAAGTGAAGGTTAAGAGGGGATTAGGTGGAGACTTATATTCCTCGTCCAAATGTTAAAAAGCTGGGACACAAAGTCAAACAAACCAGCGGAGACTTTGAGGATGTGCCAAGTTTTGACCGTTCATCATCAGAACTGAGGGACATTAATGTCAGCGGAGCAGAGAATAACGGGGCTCTGTGTTTCCTTTATGCACTTCGTAGCTCCCCACCTCATTAAAGGCATCGTGAACGTGTGACTCCGCCGTCTCTCGGACAGACGGTGTGCAGCAGACGTGTCCAACGTCCCGGACGTGCTGCGTCTGTCCAACTACTTCAGAAAAGAAAACAAACTCTTTGAAGCGAGGGATTCTTTTGGCCCTGCTAAATATCTAGTGTAGCAATTAAGATCTGGAACTGGTAGCAGTGACTTTCTTTTGGCGACCGAGCGACCGAGCTCTTTCTGTGCTAATTTTAGCTATTTTGAATAACGTTTAGCCATTTCTTTGTTGACTCTTGTGAAAACTGTTACCCATCTGGAACTGACCTTTTAAGAAGGTTGGACAGTATTTTTATTTTTCTATTTTTGTTTTACTATTGTTCCAGTTCTTTTTATTTATTTATTTGTTTTCTCTGCTGTTTGACATCTGCTGTACTTTTGTCCAACTGAGAGCTGCTTCTCTGAGCTAAATTTGATCCTGGTTAGCTGTGTTTTTACAGCTTTTAGACAGTTCTCTACAAGTGTTGGTTTTAGTTTTTTTGTTTTGTTTTGTTTTTGGGTTTTTTTTCATTTTTGCCCCTTTTTCTACATATACTGGCTAACATGGCTAACCGTTTAAAGCTAACTTTGTGGTCGCAAGTGACAAAATGTATATGTATGATAAAGGCATTTTAGTTACTTGGTATAACAATCAACAACCTTCAACTATTACTGTTATTCTAGGGCCAAATTGTGATCGTATTTTTTTTATTTTGCTCTGTTATTCTAGGGCCAAATTGTGATTGTTTTTTGTTTTAAACATTTTTCTGGGCAGAAACTTTAACTATATTTGGTTATGTTTATACAGAATTTAATTGTTTAACAAACCTCAAAACCTGTAATTTGTAAAAATCCAGAGTGATTGTTTTTTGGCTAACTGTACTGGCTAACGTTTTAAAGCTAACTTGTTGTTCAATTTCAACAAAACTATAATTGAAACCATAGGTTTTTATTTGGCCCAGTTGGCTAACCATTAGCTTTGTACAAACTCTCAGCTTTTTCTGCCCTAATACTTTATGTAATTGTTAAGCTAATTATTAATTAGTCATTTACATTTTTGTCGTAAAAGTGGTCGTTTCATGAACGTAGCGACTCATTTTGACGCCACCACAGTTTGTTTCATGACTCTTTTTGTTCTTCCTTCCCTCTCGCCCTCAGGTAAAGGAAGCTCAAGCATCTCCTCAGACATAAGTTCCAGCACAGATCACACACCAACCAAAGCTCCAAAGAATGTGACTTCCAGTGAAGGTAAGGCATCTGGTGCTCATTAACCAAACCGCCCTCCCTTCTTCTCTCCCTCCTCTTTATTCCCCTTCTTCTTGTTGCCTTGTTTTCTCCCTTCCCCTCTTCCACTTTCTCTGTTGTCTATTTTTGGACAAAAAGCCCCGTGTGTTCCTGGGAGAACCCCTCAACCCAAAAACAAACTAACAGTCAGAACCCAGAAAGCAAAAAAAGGAACTTCGTGGGCTTTGTTTTAGAAGAAGGAGGGAGGAGCGGGGGGGAAAAAAACCCCACTTCTGGCTTCTCATTGTGGAAGAATGCTTATCTAAACTGTGGTCGTATCAGCCTCAAAGCTCTGCGCAAGGAGGGAGAGAGGGAGAGGAGGTAGGAGAGTGGGGTTGTTCTGGAGACAGAGAAGGTGAAGGGAGTGAAAACGTGGATAAAGAAACTTCACCTTCTTCTCAGACAGTGAAGTGACTCCTCTTCGCCCAGCTCCCTGACTCCCTCACTCCTCCCGGAGCCAGGCAGACGTCCAGGGGTTGGAGGAGCAGATGAAGGAGAAGTGTGTCACCACTGTACTCTGCGTGCTCACTTTAGACATTTAGAAATACTTTGCACAGCTGACACATGCCTTTTGAATCCGGCTGTAAACAGCTGTCCCCTCACAGGATCAGACTAATATTTTTAACAGTCTCTCAGCTGCGGGATTTTTTTTATGACCTCAACAGATCTGGGCGAATAGAGTCATAAAACACTGTACCTCCTACTACATCTTCACTCCAACCTGAGCTGGGAGCCATGTTGAGAATGAGCTTCTGCTTTCCTACATTTGCTTTTTTTCTGCAAATTAATGCAGTTCCTTGACGTCTTACCGGAAAGTTAGTGACATGTTTTTGCTGAAAAATCACAGCTGGATTATTTTCACACCTATTTAATGTCCTTGTTCTTATTTGTGCCTGTACCTTTAAATGAGAATTAGCCAATGTGGCTCCGCCCACCTCTTCCGAGGAAAGGAAGACCTAAGGATGGCTATAGCTAACACGACAATCATTGAACAGAGAGAGAAAAAAAATTACTTCCTGTAAATTGTCTGATTCACTGATAACCACAAAATTACTTCTTGTAAATTGTCTGATTCTGACAGGCACACATTTATGTTTTTTGTTTTTTGAGCATGCTCACTGATAACCACACATAACTAGGTCAAATCTGATTGGATGAGCACGTCTTTACTAGCATGTTGTTTGCCAGCAGTGGACTTGTTTGTATTCTTAAATCTCGGGCCTCTTACCAATTTTGGCTAGCTGTCTTAGTTAGCGTTGGACCATTTTAGGCTAATGTAATGCTAGCACTTGGTGAGTTTGGATAAATCTTGTCCTCCGTTTTACTATTAATGTTAAAAAAAAAACTATTTGTGGCCGTGTTTGAACCTAATCTAATCTGGATTTCTCCGACACATTCAGTTTTCTGGCTTTTGTTCTGTGGTCAGACGTTCTTCTGAGTTGACTCACTCATCATTTCACACGATCACACACACTAGCACTAACCCCTGTCCCTCTAAGTCATTGTCATCACCAATCTTAAATTTGCTCTGGCATGATAAAAGTAGTATTCTGGTGGTATTTCAGAGCTGCCCACAAAAAAAAACAAGTACCCATTCAGAGCCTGTGTTTCAGGCTGTCGCTCAGAGGAGGATTTCAAGGTGTTTCTCTGAGGAGACAAAAGAGAAATGAGTCAAAACAACACCCTTCCTGGAGACATCTGATGTCCTCCTTTGTTGTCACTCCAGATGAAGGTCCAGATGAGGTCGATCGTCTGATCAGACTCATCAGTGGACGTCCTCCAGAGCTGGATTCTTTGAACATGTGTTTTGGACGAGACTGATTTCTGTTACTCATTGGGTTTGACAGTAAAGTCTGACTCACTAAGACATGTCCTTTGGAGAGATACTGGAAGTGGACCCAGAGTATTTTGGGGTGGAAATAAACCAAACGTCCCAAATGTGTGGACTCTCATCTCAAACCCGTGCAGGAGTAAACACACCAACAGGAGTCGACTCCATGGCCAGTGGCCTCATCACCATCATTTCTCCCCTCTGTTTTGACTGAATTTGTTCCTTCTTTTGCTCCTACGTCCTAAGTGGGAGTAATTACACGGTCTGGAACCACAACGGCCTCAGTTAAATCCCCTCTCCTTAAAAAAAAAAAAATAAAAACGGCACATAAACACACTCACACACTCACAGCGTGGCAGATCACACAGCGTGCCCACCTTGTCCTGTGGTCCAGTAAACTAATCAGGAAGCAGTCTGGGCTGTTTCCTCCCCACACACTGGCAGTATTCACGCTGCACCGATCGCACAAATACAATAATTCACTTTGTTGCGATCTCTCCCACGGGTCTCACCGTTGGTGGGTCCCACTTCACAAAACAAATAAAAAAAGTAAGTGGTTGATTTAGTCGTTGGCACGAGGAACGAATCCACCTGTAGCTTCAGCTCGCTTGAAAAAATGAAATGATTTTTGTTGTATTTAAAGTCATGTAGTATTGCAGTACAAGTGTGTGTACAAGCTAAACTGGAGTAGAATTTGATACAAATACATTCTGTCTTTAGTTTGTGGTACTTGGTACTTGTCACTGTACAAAATGGTACTTATTTTGGACATAAAAAATCACGCAAACATCAGCATGTGATTGGTTACGTTTATGACCTCAGCTGTGATGTTGCACTCTCTGATTGGTCGGTCAAATGATCTGTTTCACGTTGTATGCAGCTTTTCTTTCCCATGGTACTGGGGCATATGGTTTTTACAGATGGTTTCACAGACCCAACTTTTCGGGGGTTCCTTAGTGTCCTTGGTCAATGCCCGCTGATGTAAAGATGATAGTGTTTACACATCTTCAGTTGGGAGCGGTCTGTGGCTTAGTGGTTTGGGGATCAGGCAAGTAATGGGATGATTGCCAACCCTGACAGGACGGTGGTGTGTTGAGAAAGCACTAAAACTTCCAGGCAAGTTCTGTGTGTTGAGGATGATCACCAGAGAGTTTTAAATGAGAGGGCAAACACAGTCAGAGAGTACCTTCCCTTCAGGGGATGATGGAGAAACAGCGTAAAGAGCAAGGCAAGCACTTCTACTGAAACACTGAGGAGGGCCAAGAAACGTTTCAAAATCTGATGAGAATATTTTCTTTGAGAGACCAGCAAAGATCTTGGCCAACATCTGGCAGCTGTATCAGGTTGACCTCTCTAAAATCCAAACGTCTGTCAAATGGACTTTGTAGAAGGTGGAACATGTGGAACGTTTACCACAAAGTCCAAACCTAAGATCTGAAAGACGACGTGTGGGATCTCCTGGAGAGAGGGAGACATAAAAGGATGGATATGAAGAAGAAACTCCGTGAGAAGTTGAAAGGAACAAGTACTGGACACAGGCAGAATGAGACAGAAAAAGGGGTTTGATATCAGGAGTAGGAATAAAAGGAGCATCAACCCGTGGCTCAGTCTTTGTGGACTGAGCCAAAGAAACTGATTTTGTGGTCGGGCGATTCGACCTTTCAGCCAGTTTTTTGGGAAAAGCTTATGTCAGATTTTAAGGTTCAGGAAAGTGTTTGTAATGCAGTTACTGTTCAGTGGACAAACAGATTTTTATCTAATGTTCCCGGCCACAGAACATCTGTTTTACATATCTCATATAACAGAACATAAAGACGCTCCAACAGTCATTTCAGTGTGACTAAGAAGCCACCGAGTGACTCACTCTGCTGCCCTAATGTCATCATTAATGAGGCGGTTACATTCATTTTCCCATTGGGCCAAAGTACAGTTTCTCCTCAAGAGTTTGTTGTTTCATTTGTAAGAGAAATATTTCTGTCATTTCTTTCCTCTCAGAAGATTCTTCTGTTTGAAAACCAAACCAGTCGGGAGACCGAGTCTGACCAGAAATGTTTTCTCATTTCCCCCAAAATGAAAACAAACACCATTAGAAGAATGTGACAGATGCTACGTTCACCTCAGAACTCCAGAACTCTGTGGCTTTAAAGTCAATAAACCGTAATAGTCTTGAGTTATTGCCCAAACCAAGTATCATTATCCTCAGGGAGAGTCAGTCGATGCCCGTCTTCATCACCGGACCAACGTCTGTTCCCAGAAAATCAACATGAGGACGTTGGACTCCTCCTGGTCCAACGTGGTGTTGGTCGCTCATCTGGCAACTTTTTACTCTGTCTTTGTTTTCATTTATTATTTAGACGGTTTTGCGGTGTTGGAGACGCCGTTAGCTGCAGTCTGACAGGCGCAGTCCTCCCCGTTTGAACTCTTCTTGTGAGATGAGGCTGAGTGTCTCCCAGCAGGGGTCTCCGTCTGACCCCGCCTGAGATGTTCCACACAGGAAGAACGTCTCGACGTTTGACGTAACGTGGGCTCTCAGTGGAGGTTGGTGGTGTCGCGGCAGCCGCGGTCTGAGGGTCAACTCCATCACCCGTTTATAATGGCAGCAGGAAGGGGGGGAGAGGGGCATGCTGGGAACAATGCAACGCAGCTTTGTCTCTGTCTGCCGAGAAGCACAGGAACAATAACAGTCAATAACAGAGGAGGGGGCTATTTTGCTCCGTTTTATCAACATTATAGCGTCATCTGTAAATAGGTCAAATATTTGGTGCAGATCTCATTACATTTGTCTGGTGTGTATTATACAATCATGCTTCCATCTGCTGCTCGACTGACGAGGTTGACAGCTAAATGTCCAGAAATATGTTTATTTAAGTCTAGTTAACGAAACTGTTATCAGTTAAAGTCATTCATTCTTTGACCTTTCAGCCAGTCCTTAACAGATTGACGTTAGCCTAGATTTTTTTTTCTTTTTAATGACTGGACCTCCTGGAAGTTTACATCGACATGTTTGTTTCGGTTAAACCATCGAGAAACTTCTGCAGCACCTGAAACTCATGCCAGTCGGGACTGGATCTTTGTAGGGTGTCTGAATCCTAGAAACCTTCCTGTTGACGTGCTCTGTGCAGGAGGCGGTCCA